CTAATGAAAACTATTTTTTAGGAATGTATCTAACACTTTAACTCCTGGGCCTATTTATCTGCATAAGTTGTCACAGCCTGACCACTTTTTTTTTCACGTTCTTTAATAAAATGCTCTATATGTATGACTTAATTTATATAATGACATTTTTTTTATTTCAAAAGGGCTTTGTAGGGTATGTTTATTTTTGATACACGCAGTTCGCCTAGACGACTTTTCATAATGTCATTACCCATAGCCTATATGTATTGAAATTGATACACATTATTTATGAAACTTTATTACGCGCGAAAAAACATAAGCAAACATCTAAACAAATTATTTTAAATATACATTATGTGTTTAAAAAAAACAAATGTTACAAATATTTTTTTTCTCTACATTCAGTGCCAGTACACCTAGTGTTGCACTGTTTGGAATTCTTAGATGCATGTGCGCGACCAAAGGATTTTGCCAATGTGTTGTAATATATAACACATCGTCTTCATTTGTCATATTCTTCCAGTGTATGGTGTGTTTGTTGAGGGTTTGTAACATTATTGTCTTTGCAAATGGCAGTCACTAATTCTTCGCGAAATTGTGTTACATCCATTTTTTTGTTCAAAGCTTTGTTGTACAGAATGAAATCATTCACGGCTGTATTTGTCAATAACTCTACTCCCAGTTTCCGGTACCATTTTATAGAACGTCTGATGGGATTACTGTAGGAAGCTTTTTGATCAGAGACGTCAATGTAAGATTTAACAGAATTATATTCTACTATTGTAGACGGTTTTCTTTTTATTCCTGATTTTGTACGAACGTCGACCATTTCTGGACAAGATTTTGTAGTCAAAAATGTTACCTCTCTTGTCGATCCATTTTCCTACAATAACTTTTGTGTTGCTCTGTAGCGCCATCATATCTCCTTTATTTATCTTTGCTTCAAACACTGACTTCCTGAGTGTAGAAAAGGTTGCATTAATTTCATGACCACTAGGGATGTTAGTGATTGTTCCTTTGGTCTTTTTTGCTTTCCGCCATAAATTTTTGCGTGATATGTGCGTAGCCGCCTTTTCCGCAGAGTTTGAAAACTTTTACTCCCTATTTATTACTTTTGCAAATATGTAGTGTAAAAATGACAAATGTCCTCTAAAGGGAATCATCGATTCATCAATGCAAACGTATTTGCCTGGTACCAAAGCAGATTGACAACGTCTATTCAACGCCTGCAACAATGGTTCAACTTCGAACAATCTGCTTCTTTCAGGATAAGCTTCATTATCTGTAAAATAGAAGCAAGCAAGAAGAGTCTCAAATCTACACCTCGACATGTTTGTCGTCTTGTATATTGAGCAATGATGGATAAAATTAGTGCTCCAGTAATCTCGTAGTCGTGGTTTTGTATTCAAACCCATCTATATCAAAATTCCCAAAAATTTTATTATTTTTTCTCTGTTAATATCATTCCAGTTAGTGAGATATGAATTTGTCTTAACGTGTTCACAATTTATAGCATCAAAAATTTTTTGTTCGGCATATCGATTTGTTTCCTGTACTAAAATATAGAGTATCTCGTCTGTTAGGAGTAGTCTATAAAATGTTGAAAGTGTATCATTTTCCCTACTTTCTACAACTGTACCAAAAGAAGTATTTTCATGTATAACGTCGAATGTATTCAAATTTCCATCAACATTATTCCATATAACATTTGTTTGTAAATTCCCTATATGAGGATTTACCGTATCTATATTATTTAGATCTTCAATTTCAAATTTACTTTCGCTTATTTACAAATTTAACTCTTCATCTTGAATTCTATGTTGACTTGTAACATTATCATCCTAAAATATTTCAAAATTAGATATAACATTTGAAATTTATACGTAACTATAAACTTATCTTAAGTGTTTCCACCTTCTGCCGTTTTGTTTGTGTTTCACAATCTGTAGAGTATTCACTGCTATCGGAAATATCAGTGTATAATGGATCGAATCTGAGTCATCAAATTCACAATTACTTATTTCGCTAAGATTTTCAGCCAGATGCTCAAGTTCGTGTAAAGGAAGGTATCTCTTGTTATGTTTAGACATTGTACATAAACAAACCTGACTACAATAAATGTCTAACCAGAGAACATACGAACGTCTAACAGTAAAACTGGTATGCCACTCGACGATTTTGTGTCTCCAAATTTTATCTACAATGTTGCCGAGTTTAGTATGCTAGGATTACCGAACTAACATTGAAAATTGGTTACCACAGCCTAAAGGAATGATAATACACGTATAAATACATTACAACTGCGATCGGACCACATACACAGTCGCTTGAATACGTTCTACTCTTGTGTATCAAATTCGTACACATAGGCTCAGGGAGAGTACCTGTTGTGTATTATATATGATACACATAGGAGTCAAAGTGCTAATGAAAAACTATCTTCAAAAATTATCATTATACACGAAATTTTGCCCAACTTGCCTTAGTTTAATATGAAATTTATGAACCACAATATGATGTTGATTGGAAACAATTTTGATTTTCAAGCCTTAGGATACCATTATCACGTTTTTTACAATCAATTTATAATAAAATCAAGTTTACTTTCTGTAAGAATATACAATATCACTCGAGTATACAAGTACACTGACTTCATGAGCTTTATATATCAGTCTGATTGAACGTCTACAGCGTTTAAGCAGCGAACCACCTTTAAAATTCAGAAGAATTATCTTTAGATAGCTTACACTTAAAGCGTTTAGGCGATAATAAAGTCTCATCCTTCTCTTGATCAACCATTGGGGAGCATTTTAAAGAAATTTATATTTAAAACAATAGGCCTAATCCTTTATTCTACGAGACAATTAGAAGTTACTTTTCGTTACATAGTATTCAATTTCCAAAAACCTGGACCTTCTACACCCTGGACCTGAACCTGCTCTAAAATGTAATATAACTCAATACAACAAAAATTTTAAACCACTTCTCAATCAATAAATCGATCTTTCCTTAAAAAACTTTCCTATTTTTCCGACTGTTATTTGTAATGATGTAATGATAATAAATCCACTAATGGTGTAGGATCAACAGCTGTTACTGCAAAAATGATTCTTCTTCTTAGAGTGCCTGTCCGCTCCAAACGTTGGCGATCATTCTGGCTATGATGACTTTGTTAGTTGCCATACGGAATAGCTTTGTTAAGGACTTTGTATACTATGCTCCCAGGTTAACAAGCCAGGATTTTCTTCTTCGTTCTGGGGCCCTTTTTTCTTTAATTTTACCTTGCAAAATGCATTAGAGTAGCTTATATCTGCCTTGATTTCTCATTATATATCCCAAGTACTGCAGCCCACGGTCCTTCACGATGTTGACCAAATCCGCAGTTGTGTTCATCCTCCGCATTACTTCTTCCTTAGTGACTTTGTCTGTCCATGGTATCTACAGGATCATTCTATATAACCATAGCTCTAAAGGCTAAAGTTTTGATAGAGTTTCAGACTTTAATGTCCACGTTTCTACTAGTACGTACAGAAGTAGTGAGTACACGTAATATGTAAGAAGCATTATTTTTGTTTCTAGAGTGAGGTCATGGCTCTTGAATACAGAGCTCATAGTTAGTAATACACTTTTTGCCTTGCGACATTTAATCTTTTGGGTATTGACCCACGACTCATTGATTATAGTTGTCGAGTAGATGTACTGTAAGACACGTTCAATTTCATTTAGTTCACATACAGATTTGCCCCAGTTACGTTTTCTTTGCTGATGATCATTAGCTTGGTTTTGATGGTGTTTATATATAGTACATATGTTCTACTTGTTTCCTTTATGTTGTTCATTAGGTTTTGCAGCCCTTGTATGGTATTGGGAAAAACTATTGTATCATCTGCATACCGTAGGTTATTGAGATTGACTCCATTTATTGAGATACTTTCATCAATATCTTTTAGCGCTTCTTCAAAAACGTGCTCCGAGTACAGATGGAATATCAGTAATGAAATTATGCACCCCTGTCTTACTCCCCTGATTTTGATCTGATCTGTATATTTCTCCATCTATTCGGAGTACCGCTGATTGATTTTAACACAGCTTGGCTATTATTTTTAGGTCTCTTCCGTCAATCCCTGTCCTTCCATCTTCCATCATTTGTTTATGCCTGACCTTATCAAAAGTCTTCTTGTAGTCAATCAGATATGCAAAAACATCACAGATGACATCTCAACATTTCTAAAACAATACCTGCACGTTAAGTAAAGCCTCTCTCGTACCAACGGCGTTTACAAATCCAAACTAATTGGGCGCAATTTGTTCTTTGCATTTCCGATAAATTCTTTTATGCAGGACTTTTAAAACAGCTTAAGTAGATGACTCATTAGGTTGATGGTCCTATGGTCTTCACAAACTTTTGCTCCTGGCAATCCTCCTTTTTGGGCAATGCTACGAACTCCGATTTGAGTGACTCTACTGGTATTTTTCTATCTTGTATATCTTCTTCTTCTAATGCCGTCTCCACTAATAAAGGTTGGCTATAACCATTGCAAATTTGTCTCTATCTTCTGCTTATATTAAGAGCGTCTGTGTGTTTAACCCGGTCCAGCCGCGAATGTTTTTCAGCTGGGATATTTGTCGTCTACCGGGACCCCTTTTTCCTTCGATTTTACCCTTCATAATCAGCTACAACAACTTGTACTTATCATTTCTAAGTATGTGCTCCAAATATGCTGTCTTTCGCCTTTTAATGGTGGTCAAAAGTTCTCTGCCTCTTCCGATTTGTGTGATTGTGATTTGTGCAACAAACACCAGTTCGTTGTATACACTCATACCATCGTGTATTTTTGAGTAAATATATCAGTTATTATTTTTATTTGCTCTGCATCTAATAGCTTGAGCAGTTCTGCAAAAATTTCATGAAGTCCCGGTGAATTTGTACCCTTCATTTATCTGACAGCTACCGTTATTTCTTCTGGTAGGATTTAAGGACCTGAATTTTCTTTAAGGGTGGGTTCCTGTATTGTTCTAAGTTCGTGAAAAAGTTTCTCCAAGAATTCTTCACACACTTTATCTTCTTTGTTTATGGCAAAATTGCCTTCATCATCTATTATTTTTCCTCTGTTGCGTTTGCGGAACTTCCCAGCTATTTCCTTCATCTTTCGATGGACATTGAAGTTATCATATCGACTCTGATACTCCTCTATTTCTTGACATTGTTCTGTTGTTTAATCTTATATTATATTATTATATTCTTGGAGATTTTCTCTGTTTGTTTCTCTGATCCATAAGTTCAAGTATTTCATTGGTCATCCACGATTTCAGTTTCTCTGTATCTTTCTTCAGGTGTTGTTCTTTTATTTTTTTCACTGTTCCTTGTACATCTAATAGCTTGAGGAGTTCTGCAAAAATTTCATGAAGTCCCGGTGAATTTGTACCTTTCATTTATCTGACAGCTACCGTTATTTCTTCTGGTAGGATTTAAGGACCTGAATTTTCTTTAAGGGTGGGTTCCTGTATTGTTCTAAGTTCGTGAAAAAGTTTCTCCAAGAATTCTTCACACACTTTATCTTCTTTGTTTATGGCAAAATTGCCTTTATCATCTATTATTTTTCCTCTGTTGCGTTTGCGGAACTTCCCAGCTATTTCCTTCATCTTTCGATGGACATTGAAGTTATCATATCGACTCTGATACTCCTCTATTTCTTGACATTGTTCTGTTGTTTAATCTTATATTATATTATTATATTCTTGGAGATTTTCTTTGTTTGTTTCTCTGATCCATAAGTTCAAGTATTTCATTGGTCATCCACGATTTCAGTTTCTCTGTATCTTTCTTCAGGTGTTGTTCTTTTATTTTTGTCACTGTTCCTTGTACGATGGTTAGACTTTTCTCTATAGTTCCTGCATTTCTGCATTTTAGCAACTTTAAATTGTGGTTTTCACTCACCTTCAGTCTAACATTGGGAGCTTTCAGTTTTCTAACATCATACTTCTTCATTGACTTACTTGTAACCTTCTTCACTCTGACTTTGAAATTACCTACAACTGGTATATGATCAGAATTTATGTCTGCCCCCGAGTATGTTTTGACATATGTACAGCTGTTCTTATACCTTTTATTTATGAGCATGTAATCAATCTAATTTCTTACAATCCTTCTAACAAAATCAAAAGCAAAATTGATATTATAATTATTATAATTTAAATTGCCATCAATCAGTAGCATCCTATCGATGGAACTATACGCATGGTAAAATTATACAAGCATTAATTTATATAAATAACCACAACATATGCAAAACGGTGATAATTTCTGATTCTCTCAGTTAATTACATACAATAAAATAGCTTTATACAAATAATTCCATAAGCTTTCTAATTTAACATTAATAACATGTTCTAACCTATGCAAAACTAGAAGTCTTTTTCATCTCGTCTCTTACTGGTCTGCAATTCAACAAAAAGCTGATCATCTCAACACGCACGCGAAGCAATAAAAAGTGCATCGTTGATTTTAGTAAAATTTTCGGTATCCGATTTAAGTGTTTGGTTAAATAACAAGTGCTAAGTGTATGGGAACACGAATGGCACCATTCACAATCGTTTCTACACACTACTATACAGAGTGGCCCAAAAGTCTGGAAACGGCTAATTATCTCGTAAAATGCTAATCATAATTGAACAAAGTTCACCTATTTTGGGATACGGAGATTCCATATTTGATATTTACAATGTTGCCAAATTTGCCGTTTTTCTTATATTATTAGTAACTTTGGTTTGTCAAATACACCAATTTCAAATCACCCTGTATATTCAGTCATTATTTTAATCTCCTATTCAATACGAGGTCAACCATATGTAACACTTATGATTTTATGTAATCTGGAAGGTCATAAATACATAAAACCGAAGTCTGGCAACGCCTAAATTGTTTCAATAAATTTTTTAATACTATTTTCAAATACATTAAAACGTAACAATTGATCGTTTAGAACATTTTTTAACATAGTAGTTACATTATTAAGTGTTCAAAATGTGCTCAATTTGTGAGTTGACAGCACCCTAATCGATGGTAGAAGGCGTCTACCATGTCTCCATGATTGTCTAGAAATTATTCGAGATTCATTGATAATTCGTCGCCTTAGCTCTGCAAGACTTGCTGGTTAAGTTTTGTAAACTGAATTTTTCAAGTATCCCTAATAAAAATAATCCTTAGGATTAAAATCGGGTGAACGTGGAGGCCATTCAATTCTACCTTGTCTACCAATTTATCGTCCAGGAAATATCTCATCTAAATATCGCCGAACATTTACACCAACTATCTGACGTTAAATTTCTTTCGACAAAAAATGACCCAATTGAATAAGTAACTACTATATCTGACCATACATTTAATTTCTGTGGTCTTTGAGTATGGTTTTCATGCATTCAGTCTTCAGTGTGAATTTACGTCACACCAGTACCTTAAATTGTGTCGATTTACACTTCCATACAGTGTAAAAGTTGCTTCATCGGAAAAACATATTCTGTTAACGAAATTTTAATAATTTTCAATGGTATCCATCATTACCTCAGTAAACTCTAATGTACGACCAAAGTAATCTTCGCTTAATTCTTGCAATAAGTTAATTTTGTATGATTTAAATTTATTTTTACGTAATAAACGTAATACTGAAGAGAGACCTACATCATGTACTTGTGCAACCCTGCCTGGGGATGTATGTGGATCTTCAACAAAACTTTGCTTATATCTGAAGTTTTGTTGTCATTGATAACTCCTTTCGGTCAACCTGATCGGTAGCTATCTTTTACTTCTCCAGATTCCTCAAATCGCTTTACAGTTTTTTGTACCGTCGTCTTATGAATACGAGAACGGTTTAGAGAACGGCATTTTAGAGAAGCAATTTAAATTGCAGAACTTTTTGAACCACAACTACTGTCAATTTTAGTTCATAATTTAAATGGTGAACAGATGTCAAAATTACAGCATTCTCCATTTAAATCTTTAAATTTATTAAAATCTACATATTTTGCACTGTTTTATGTATTTAAGATCTTTCATACTACATAAAATCAAGTGAACATATGGTTGAACTCGTATTGAATAGCTGAACTCGTGTGAAATTCACGGGTACTTATATTCAGTAGGTACTTATTTAATTGGACCATCTTTTATCGAAAGAAATTTAACGTCAGATAGTTGGTGTAAATGTTCGGCGTTATTTAGATGAGATATTTCCCGGACGATAAATTGGTAGACGGTAGAATTAAATGGCCTCCACGTTCACCCGATCTCAATCCTAAAGATTATTTTTATTAGAGATACTTGAAAAATTCAGTTTACAAAACTTAACCAGCAAGTCTTGCATAGCTAAGGCAATGAATTATCGATGAATCTCGAATAATTTCTAGACAATCATAGAGAAATGTGGTAGACGCATTCTACCATCAATTAGAGTGCTGTCAACTCATAAATGGAGCACATTTTGAACACTTAATAACGTAACTATTATGTTAACAAATATTCTAAACTATGAATTGTTACGTTTTAATGTATTTGAAAATAGTTAGTATTAAAAAATGTATTGAAACAATTTAGGCGTTGCCAGACTTCTGTTTTATGTATTTAAGACCTTCCAGACTACATAAAATCATAAGTGTTACATATATGGTTAAATTCGTATTTAATAGGAGATTCTAATAATGACTAAATATACAGGGTGATGCATTTCAAAAACCAAAGTTACTAGTAATATAAGAGAAACTGAAAATCTGGCAACATTGCAAATACCAAATATGGAATCTCCGTATCCCAAAATAGGCGTATCTCAAATTTTGTATTATTATGTCTAGTAATTTACGAGATAATTAGCCGTTTCCAGACTTTTGGGCTACTCTGTATAAGACTATAATAAATTTATGCTGTGAGAAACAATGTCAACACGTCATATTTACGTAACGTATAACGTCTTAACGTATAAAGCCAGGGACACACTTGTCATACAGCCTTCCAATCCTACTCCAATCATACATAATTGGGCTGCTGAGTACCTTTGTGTATACGTGAAAAGATGGATAATTAAAAACGTTTCTTCTTCTTAGTCTTATTATTTGTTCTGACATTTATATTCCTAGTCTTTTCTTTATGTTTAGCTGGTCCAGTATAAATTCATTTGTTCTTCGGACCACTTATGGTATTCTCAGCATTCTTCTTCAGCAGTAAATCTCAAATACATCTATTATCTTTTTGTCTTTGTCCAGAAAGGTCCACAATTCCGATGCAGAAGTAAAAAACTGAAGAAAGTAGACGTCTTAGGAGTCTCATTTTTGTATCGATAGTTATTTCATGACTTTTTCAAATTTTTGTTAATGCGCTTTTTGCGTTTGCTGACTGGCGCTTTATTTCTTCAGTACAGTTGTTCTTGTTAGTTATTAAAGAGCCTAGATACACAAATATTTATCTACAACAGCGATATTGTTTATCATGGTTTGATGATTTTGATTGTTGTTAGCTCTGTCAATTATCATGATTCTAGTTTAATCTCTGTTTGTTTTAAGACCCATTATTTAGCTTACTTCTTCAATCCGTTGGTGAATCAGTTCAACTTCGAACTAGCGAGGATGGTAATATCATATGCATATCTCAAGTGGCAACTCTTCTTGTCGATGATAGTAATTCTACCCCAGTCATCAATAGCTTGCCGCATTATCCATTCAACATATATTACTTCAGGATTTTCTGCCAATGGGACAGCATCAATCTCTAGGTAGTTCAAAAAATTTTCAACAGACGACTCTTTATAGTCTTCGCCATTGCCTTTTTCATGTTAAATGCATAATCCTCTAGAATTTTTGCTAGTTCTGTTATGGTAGTACATCTTTTAAGCGTAAAATTTCTCACCCGTAGGAACTCCGAAAATTGGGTCCAAATAGAGCTTCTGGATCTCTTTGTGTTCAATCGGATATGTTTCGAAACCAATTTTTTTATTTCTTCACCTGACTGGCATCAAAATCTTGATTTTTTCGTCTGGATTCATTATATCTATTGTCCAAAATTGATTACGCTTCAATTACGTTTGTTAAACTGACAGCAATAGAAATACCAGACACTTTCGTGACGGATCTGTCATAATTTTGTCGCTGAGAAATCACGGTCAGGAAGGAGTTTTGTCTGTAGGAAACGTGGCGTTGCTATGATGTTTTATCAATTAAAAATAGTCAAGTAAAATAGTCTCATGCCTGATCGCTTTAGGTTTGCCACTTTTTTCCTAAAAAATAATCTGAATAATTCAATAAAAATAAACTGATTATAAATTTCAATAAATGGTGTTGATTCCTTGATAATGTTTAAAATAATTTCTCTATATTGATTTATAAGCAATATTTTGCAGTTGATAATGTTTTTGTTATAATAGTTGATAAAGTTAGTAATTAACAAATTATAAAATATTACTAATCCATATTATATTTAATTACACACATTTTATTTTTAAGGCTGTCTGGATAATAACTTGGCCGATAAATTGTGCCTTTTTTCTAACAGTTCCTCATTGTGAAAAAGTGAAATCTGACAAATGGATCCCCGTTGCGTTCGTGATGTGTATTTTATGGATTGGTATGCTTTCTTACATTCTCTCATGGATGATAACAGTAATAGGTAAGCAGGATACTAAACCATAGTAAACTATTTTTTTATTATATTATATTATTATTATACAGTTTAATAAAATGCTTAAACAATTTGAAATATACATGTTCATGACTCTGTAAATCATTTTTTGTATGGTGGTTTTTTAGGGGATACGTTGCGTATACCAGACTCAGTAATGGGTATATCATTTTTGGCTATTGGTGCAGGAGTCCCAGAAGCAGTATCGAGTATAGTAGTCGTTAAAAAAGGTAATAAACATGTTTATTAACACATACTTGAAGGGATTGTTAGACTTTTCTTAAATAAAGATGTTTTTATAAACATGTTTTTATAAACCTTTATTTTTTTCTATAAACATTTTTTATAAACATGTTTTTATGTTAAGTAAAAGCTAGTCCTCAAAAATTGTATGATTTATATATATATATATTTATATATATATACATATATATATATATATATATATATATATATATATTATATATATATATATATATATATATATCTTTTTTGTCGGG